ATCAATGGGGGGGCAGAGGGGGCTGCAGAAAAGGAGCCCTTTGAGGGCCCAATGAAGGGGCCCTTTAGGGCCCAAAAGGGGGTCTGTAGGGCCCGAGCAGTGCACCTTTTCTCCCCCCCCCCCGCCCCTCACTTATGGCCCCCCCCCCACTAGCGAAGCCCAAGGGATTGTCAAACCTCGGCTCGGGGGCCAAGAGCCAGTCCCTGGGAAGGGGTGGGGAGGTCCAGGGCCCGACCTTCGAAGACATCGAGTCGTCGGAGGCCGGGGGTCGCGCATCCGGCTTGCGCGGCCCAGGAAGCGACGCCGGGTCCGCGTTGCGCTGACGCGGGGGCGGCCCCAGCGCGGACATTCGAGGCTGCGCGCCGCCCTTGGCCTGGAGCCGCCGGATACCGGAGGATCTGCGCTATCGTAACGCCGCGGTCGCTCCAGGTTGAACGACACACGCGGTGTCGGAAGCCAGCGTGCGCGCCGCCTCTGCAGGAACCAGACGTGGGTGACCAAGGGTACGGATGCGACTTGTTACCCCGTCAGTGCCACCCCAGTAGGGGGCCCGTGGCATCCGGGGGAACCTGGACGTACCAGCGCCGCCGTCAGAGCGCCAAAACAAGACGCCTCTTCCTCGTTCGTCCGGAGTAGCGTTGCTTTCGTTCCGGCCCGACTTCAGGAGCGGACTACTGGAGGAGACTGGACTCCTCTTCCTCCTCCTTTCTCCTCTTTCTCCGCCTCCTTTCTCCTCATCCTGCTCTTCCTTCATTCCTCCTCTTCCTTCATGTTCACTCTTCCTCATCAACGTCACTCTCTTCCTTCCCCGTCTTTCTCTTTCTTGGATCGTCAGCGCTCCTCCTCGTCCTCTTCCTCTTCCTCCTGCTCCTCCTCTTCCTCTTTCTTTATCCTCCTCTGTGAGGCCCTCGTTGCGAGGGCGACAGAAACACAAAGGTGCACATGAACTTCGGACGTCTGCAGACGGTTTCTCAGTTGGCGCTGGGCATCATCCCCACACCCCCACAAGTACGCGGACTGATGAGCACGCATACCGTTGCAGAGACATCGCCGTCATGCGTGTTTTCTCCCGTTACGAGACGACATGCGTTTTCACATGAGTGTGTACATACATCCCTCATTAGCTGATCCACCTGCGGACGTTCAGGCCCGCACCTGCGATCTAGCTGCGAACGTGCAGGCCCGCACTCGCGATTCGAGCACATGCCACGGCCATAGTGTGGCCGGGAACGTGGCATTGCGATCTGAACCTTTCCGGCGCCAGCGGCGCCGCCCAGAACAGGGAAGGGGTCCACG